ACCATTCACTAGTGTATGTATTCTGTGCCAAAGGTCACCAGATTGCAAAAGTGTTCTCATTTCAGAAAGGACCCATCATTCACCATCACCTTATTTTGACACAACAGGAAAAAAATATGTACATCAAGCAGGAATAGTAAAGCGGGGAGGAGGACAGAGAGGCACCTGTATTAACAATGTAGCAAATTTCCTGAAGGGAAAACCACAGACTATTATAAGGATAATAGAAAAGTAATATTTTTATGTTATGGGACGAGACTTTCCAAACAATTTTGACTGTACTAAGTCTGCAAAATGGACTCTTAATTTTCTCGAAATATGAGTAAAAAAGAAAATTAAAATGGTGCCTGGCTTACTTAATGGAGAAAAGTAGGCCAGCTGCCTTTTCAGAGTCTCTCAGACTGCTAGAGAGGACATCACAGTGGCGGCTGTTACTGCAGTAGGGAGTTGCCCTCTATGTTAGAGCTCTTGGGCTCACGCTGCAGAACAAATCACAGTTGTCTCCTCTTCTCCGGCAGCCTAACAAGGAGACTAAGCAAGGCAAGAGCCCACTTGCCTTTGCTATCTATCCATCTGCCAATTCAGGCAACACAGAAGTCTGAGGGTCTCCAAGAGACAAAAGCAGATGCTCTTCTGAACCGACTGATGTCTTCTTGTTTTTAGTTTAGATTCCTGCCTATCTGCAGGAGAAACCACACTTGTCTTTATTAATCCTTTATATGGATCAAAATGACGTCTTAAAAAATACACTAATTCTGTCTACTTCAGGTCTTAACCCAGCTGTGCTCATCCAGTGCATAGGATGGGTGAATAAAAACCACTACACGCTCCCAGCCCTAGAGATAGAAAGAGGTCCCCTCAGGGTACACTTTTCCATATTCTTAGAGATCACTACAAAACTGGGCTTCACTGTACCGAAATATATTCTCACCACGAAGCAGAGGCTAGGAGACAACACTCACTTGTCAACATCCACAACCAGTATGCTTTCTCAAACCTGCTCTCCCACCATACATCTCCTGAGCCTCCCAGCTAAAGGAAAAATTATCAGTTTATTTAATTTTAATGTTATTATTCATGAAATTTAGAGTTAGCCTTCTGCCAAGATCTGTGTCACTGCCAAAGTGACCCAGATAGAGCTATTTGAAAACTACTGTGAGCGTTTACAAATGTCAACACTGCAGAAATTAGCTATTGTACATACTGTATTTTCTAAAACGTAAAACTAAATAGCATGACCTTCAACAGATACAACTAACTTGCATATGTAGGTTCAGGACCAAGAAATATGCTTCAGTGCTGAAGATCAATTATCAAAATTCACTCGGCTAAACTCATCAAGACATGAAATACATGATTTCTACATTCACAATTTTAAACACAAATTTGAAAAATAGTACTTCAAATACAAAATTAGTATTATATGGCCAAACAAGAAGCATAGATAGAACACAGAAATAAATGCACATTCCTGTTCTCAGGGGCAACATACTGGCAAGTAAATTCAAAGACAGAGGTGTTTGTTGAAGTTCCTTACTACCATCTTCATAATTCCATCCCTGAGGAAAGATGTAAACCCTTTTCTTGCACATCATACAATTTTCCTTGACAGTTTCACTGACAAGCATTTACAGATTCCCTGAATGGTAACACCCATACTCTTATGAAATGTACTGAGGGGTTATTTAATGATCAGAAGCTGTTTAGACTACAGACATTTTTTTCTAATTTTCGTTAGGGTATAGTATGAGCCCTGACTCAGATGGAAAACTACTGAATAATTAATAATCAACAC